CACGAATCAGAGATTGCAATGAGCTCATCCTTTTCTCTTTGCAGCTTCAGAACTGCCCTGGCTCTATTGCTCTTATTGCTGCTGCTGTCTGCTGGCACACACATCCACAGACACTGAGCCCTGAAAGCTCTCCATTGCTTTTCTCCCATACAAGCTTTCCTGCACTCATTTTCTGCCATTTTCCTGCTTTTTAGGTACATTTTTAGATCCATGTTTTCTCTGGTTTGTTTTTCAAATCTACTTTGGACTCTGGCTGAGCCAGCACAGTGGATCATATTTTTCCTTGATTCTTAGCAAAGATGCTTTTCTCTTTCTGAGAGACCGACGGGCGTTGCTGTAGGCGGCCATCCGAGCCCATTTCAAAGATCTGAGGCTGGCTCACCAAATCCTGCACTTTTTGAAATTACGGTTCAAAGCCTGTTCTTCTCACTCTGGATACTTACTACTTACTGCTCATGGAAGAAGGGGTACCTTGCAAAACCCCAGCTGCCAAGCTCACACCACCTGTCAAAAAGTCCCAGGACATGCATGACGAGAGAAGCAAGCTGGTGAATGAGTATGCATGTCGGGTGCTGGAACTTCTGGGAATGGGGCATCGCCTATTTGTGCCTCGGCTCCTTGCGGTGAGATCACATTTTCTTGAAATTAATTCATTGCAAATTTGCCATTTTCCCTCCCAAACATGCTTCCGATCCCACAATTCTTGACACTGAATTTGTTTCCTCTCGGCTCCTCATAATCCATCTCCTAATCACTGAGTCTGTCTTTTTCATGTTGGCTTGGGAGGGCTGGATGCTAGTCCTGCTAATGGGGATCGGTGCCACTCCTTAACTACCTTGAAGGGTTCACAACCAGGGCTGCATTGTAAAAAAAAATCTTTCCTAAAGCCATGAATCCTTTTGTTCTCAGTCCTGTAATGATTCCAAATAAGCAGCATGCCCAGTCCACTTCTAGATACTGATGGAAAGTGTATTAATGCTCAGCATTTCAAATTTTACACTTGTGACATCGAAGGTTAGTTTTAAGCATTTGTAAAAATTCAAGCTATATTTTTGGTTTTCTACTGTTTCTGTGTTTGATTTTGAAAAGGCAGTCAATACTATTTCAAAAAGTTTAAAATACTTTTGTAGAATTATCTGGGAAATAAATTGTTAAAGGTGTTTTTATCCATCATAGCAAATGATGTCTGTGTGTGAAATGGCCTGAAATTGGTGTGGCATGTTAGAGTACAGAGAAGTATGCTTTTATCATTTCTACTGGTGCACAAAGCAGACTCAAAACCACAAAAGTGGAGAATCCAGAAGTCAGTACCTAGTCCTAGCTGGGTCTGCTCTAGGGTACTGTAACTAAACCTAGCTGCAGCTTGGAGGTACACTTGGTCAATGGCCTTGTACACCAAAATGTCATTTTTATGTGATGCATGTGAAGACAGTTCTTTACTGATCCCATCCCATTTTCTAGTGGGGTGGTGCCTTTCCTTTATATCCGTACCCTGTGCAGTCCTATACTATAGTTACATATAGTGACCTGTCTTGCATTTGTGTTGTGCTACTGAAACCTATTTCCGTGTTCTGCAGTACACTCACATAAGTGAATGTGCTCTGTGTATTACAGAATGTTCAGTGTAAAAAAAAAAAAAAAAAAAAAAAAAGGGGGGGGGTTGAAGAAGGAAAAAAAAAAAAAAAAAAAAAAAAAAGGTGGGTGGTTGAAGCAGTGTGTCCCTGCACTGTGAGATGTCAGATAAAAATAAAAAATTCACAAACTCTCTGATTGCTAGTAAAGTGCAGATGAATTTGGATATCTACAATCACTTGTAGAATTGAGTATGGTGGCTAATAATGGATGGTTGAATCTGTTGTATGTGTAAGCATTATTCCAGTTTACATCCAAGTGTACCTGAAGACTCATCAATCCCATCCTGCTGATGGTCCCTTGGGCAAGGACTGCCAAATCATTCTGAATTGTTTTGTGATGAGGTCTAAGGAAAGCAGAGACAAAACCACTAAGCTCTTTTTCACTTGACTTAATCAGGCTTTGTATCTGGCCCTCCAGATGGAGAATACCAGGAAATTTAGCATACTTCAGCATCCAGGCAGCTTAGCTTTGCTGAACGATATAATATTGTTTATTAAAAAAGAAAAAAAGAGGGGAAAAAAGGCAAAACGATACAAATAATGCTTGTGTTATTAGTGTGTCTTGACTTGCAGGAGTCAATGTGGTCTCCTGTCAGGTTTTACTAGCTAAACATACCTCTTCTGACATATCCCTTTTGACATATACCCCTTCCATGAAGGAGGAGAAACTGTGATTCTGATGATTTTTAAAAAATGAGAAATCTCTGAGGACCAAGAATTTGTGCTTTAATCAGAACTGAAGATACTTCCAAAACCTTGGTGTTTCATAGAATTAAGAACTAGATTCTTTTTTACATGCATAAGCTTCTCCCTCTGCTGTGGTTTTGGGAATAAAAGCCTAGGACGGGCAGAATACGTGCCATTGTAGTGTTATGTGAGAAATATAATCTATAACCTTTATGCCAGCCTTACAAAAATTCAGATCACCTACTCACTGCATCAGCTAACTGCGATGATGGGCAAGTGAAACAGCACTAATTCTGTGTGGTTTTATCCCCTTCGGGATGACTATGGATGGATGAAGCTAGTAGATTTTGTGTTTGCTCTTAATCCACATTCATTGGTATTTTATGTGGCAGAATTAACATTGCCTTTGTAAGTCTGGAGCTACATATAAACGCAGTGGTGAAATCTTGAGCAGAGGGATACTACTGGGTGTATACAAGATTGTTGCCTTATTTATGGATGCCAACTCACTGTGCCCAAAACCAAAGCTATTTTTTTTCCATAGTGCTTTTGTACCAAACAGTGTTTAACAGAGAGCACAGATTTTATTTATAGGAAAAAATGTGTTTGACAGTATAGCTTTAACAGTAAAGAAATGGACATAAGCGATGCTGGTAAAAGGACTCTTTTGATGTATTGTGCTAGAAGTGCGTACCAGTGTAATTGTTGCAGTGTAGCTTTACCCATCAAACTTACCCAGGCCTGGATCCCAAGCTTATCCACCCTCACGCTCCTTGGCAGCACAGGAGGTGAACTTCATCCTCTTGGAGTCATTGAACAGATGTCAGGTCTGTGGCTAATGTTTAAGGGCAGTACAGTGCACAGTTGTGCAACACACAGCATTGCAGTCTTGCTGCTGCCAGTGGAAAAGGAACTATCAAGTTAGAAAAAAATAGCTCACATACCTTGATTTTACATTGCATATCTTCTCAAACGAATGTAAAACCATATCTGTGTGTGTTATAGATTAAATATTATGTTCTGAAAAATTAGTGTGAGGATACCTGTAAACATTTTAATTTACCAGTAGCAAATTAAATAGTGGAGTAGAGTATGGCCAGATTCTTTTCAGCCTTTAACTTGGTCTTGTTCCTGACACATGTTCATTAAAGTGTAAAAAAGGCAGTTTCTGCTCACTGACAGTCTATAGAAATTCTAAATACATATATACTGTACACATAGAATTCTACAGATATCTGTCATTTTTTTATATTTGTATGAAAGAGGAAGAATTAAATTAAGGAAGTGTAGTGTGGTTGATCCAAAATTTCTTCTGCTCTTTTAGTTCCCAGGTGGGAATAGGAGTTGTAGTTGATATAGTCAGTAATAAATGAGACTGCAGAATTAATAATTGAAGACAGAGAAATTAAATTAAAGAAAAAAGCCAAGGCTTTGTCCTTTGTCTTAATCACATTTCTCTAAATATTTTGGGGAAAGTAGTAGTAACATTATTTACTTGAGAACAAAATAGTCACGATTAACATCATTTAAGTTTCTCAAATTCTGTTCATGTGTTTTGAACATTTGCAGTTTTCCAGAACTTTACCGTTAGATTTGAAAGCTTCCCAAGTACTTCCGGGAAGGGGCTTTCCCTTGGTTTCAGCTAATCCATATAAGATAATTTTATGAAATATTGAAATACTTAAGCAATGTGGGAAGGACATTCGAGGGCATATTTAGTTGAACCCTAAAAGGCAAGCTGAGACTTTTGGTCATAGTTCTCAGTGAGTTTCCTCTTTTGCCTAGTTTTAAAAATATTTTTTAACAAAAAATAAGATTATCTGAAAATTGCATCTAGAATAATAATGCCCTGAAGTCCCAAGTGCACAGAAATGCAATGCATCTGCCAAACTTTAATTATTGGTTCATTAAACTTACAGATGGTTTAGTGAAATAAGTTGTTGATGAGTTCCACAAGCTGAGTGATGCGAACCAATGAATTTACAAATCTCTGCCTGTCAAACAGCTGCCAAAAGGTTCCTGAGATGTCTTTATGATTTATTGATTGAAATCACAAAATGTCAAGCAATGTGAATCTTAGGATGCCAACATTGCTATTTATAAGATTTTTTTTTTCGTACTACACATATACACATGCGCGCGCGCGCGCACACACTGTGGTTTTATGTTGCCTCCTGTTTTTAATCAGTACCTGAAGAGGTTAGTTTGCAGAAAATATACAAAGTACACAACCTGGTTAATGTTGCTCTCAAAATGTTACTTTGCTTTCTTGTGATTTTAATAGTGAAACTAATTTTTTGATCAACAGATTATTTTAATGAAATTAAAATATTCAGCAAAGTAGAAAGAGCTGAACAGTATAGGTAACAGTATAGGCTCTACCACTCATTTTATCAAATTATACAATGTGGGTTTTAATTTTTTCTAACTATAATCTTAGTTCAGCAAACTGTCACATAAGTTCTTATTTCCATGATTCACTATTATTCTTACGGTATTTTCATTGACTAAAGATTTTTCAGGGTTGAGACCTCAAAATTCTCAATAGTTACAATTTTATGAGAGTAATTTGTTTGGGGGCTGTTAAAATATTATTATAACAGTGATTCAAGCAGAAGCCTAGGAGAATTAAATCTGACTTGAACTGTTTTACATGTAATTGCTGTTTTTCTGACATATTTGCCTCTGTCTTTTTTGGGATTTATTTTTAAATGAAGTGCTATGGACATAACAGGGTAGGTGCATCTGCTTTTGTAAAGTTTGGCATGGTCATTTATTTGTTTATTATTATTTTTTTTTTTTTAGGGTTTTTTCTCCTCTTTATTTCTAAAATAAATTCCAAAACACTCAGTGCATTATGTTAATTTAAGAAAAATAAATTAAATGCAGAATTAAAATAAAAATGTCTAGCCAGGACCTCTAGGAAGAATACTTGCTTAAAATTAGGATACCTCAGCTCCTAATAAAATGCTAAAACTTTGGCAAAAAGTGTGTTTGGTGTTTTTTTTGTGCTGGGAGTAACTGTCCAGAAGTCTTAATTGAAAACACCCTCCCACTCTGTTGGAAGCACGTACCAGTTATCCTGTCTTGGAGATTACCCTGTCTTTCAGCACTGCAATATCGCTGCACCCTCCGTGTAAAACCAGGAACAGCAGCAAAATGGGTTTTTCAGCTTGGTTGGTGTCCATTTACACCTGGGGTCAGAGTTGTGTTCATGGCCAGGTTTCAGAGGAGGATGGGACAGGCTGCTACAGCATGAGAAAGAGGAGGGGACTGGAAATGCAGGAGAGCTTGTCTCCAAAGAAAGCAAATTTGCAATGTAATAGGGAAATCTATTTGAATTGTATAGTGATCACAGCTGTCAGCATTGCTGAGAGGGAAGACGAGAAATGTCTTTCAAGGAAGCTGGTTATCAAACCATTTACTGCTTTTTGATCAACATTACGCAGCTGAACTTTGCCCAGAAGCAGCTTGGTTGCCAGCACGTGTTTTGGCAGTGATGCTGTGTGCTGCCTGCGTCACAGGCTGCTCCCGCCACACTCTACAACTTGCAGGTAGTCTTAAATATAGCCCATTGTGGATATGAAATGGTGATCTAGTCTCAAGTGTGGCAAAAGCATATCTAACCTCAGTAAAACTTGTCCAAGAGAAATATGATGTTAGAAAGAGGAAAAGGATACATTGGCCATAGCTGCGTTCATGAGTGGGTCTGATTCACTGGATGCCCAACTGCACCAGGTTTCTGTCAATGCTACATCAGTCTTGTCTGATTGAGTCTCAGCCAAAGAGTCCTCCTGCCAATTTTTTTGTGGACAGAATCAGATGTGGTAGTTTGTAAAGCTGAACGTTTCCCATCAGCATCGTGAAGGCAGCTTTTCTTGTGTCCCTGCAGTGATGACCCAGCAACTTCCTTGGCTGTGAAGGAAGGGAGTATCAAATAGATCTTGAGACAACACTGAGGATTTTGATGACAGAAAGTTGTCTGCCTTAAAAATGCTGCAGTCATGGGGAAATGGATCTGCTGCAGCTACTCCAGTTGTATTTGGAGTTTTCTCGCTCTTTCCTTGTGATTAATGTAGCAAAAACTACTATGGAGTGCCCATTAGGGTATACAGTATAATAATCTGCAAAAATACATAGGGTGATAGGTAAACATGCACAATGTAGATTTTGTCCTTATAGGCTCTTCATTGAGGAAATCAAAGGGCATATTGTGATGCTCATTCCCAAAGTGAAAGACTGGGCACAGAGCAGTGATGATTATCAGTGTTTGGGTGGCACACCTCTGATGTCAGCTCATGCTCTTCACTATCAAAGATACTGGATAATCATGAAAATACCCCCTTAACTTCTGTTGCTGTTCCAGGTTTGGTACATAATTTAAAATCCCTTCAACACCCCAATCCCACCCCCCCAAAAAAAAAAAAAAAGTTTTGGTAAATGGCTGGTTTTGATAAACCCTCTGGGTAGGGTGCTGTAGCATTTTTGGCAGAAATGTGAAATATGTCAAGCTAGATTTGAGTATTACTGTTATGTGCTTCCAATATCTGCAGTACCATATTCAAGTTCGGTTTGCTTTGGGAAACAGTATTTTTGTACTTTTAAGAAGGGCTTTTACATAGTAGATTTAATTATTTTCATGTAAATGAACTCGTGATGCTAGTTTGTAGGGTGCATAGGGAGGATTTGTAAATAAAATCTTCTCTGCATTGTAGTGGGAATTATATTTATTTTTATTTATTTAAACTGAATTTAACACCCAAGAGAAATAATAGTATCATTAAGCCTCACCTCTCGTGTGTCAAAGGCTGCACAGTTTCTTCCAGTTCTCCCTGTGTAGAGCCAAATCTCTTGTGTTCAGCTGAAGTGTGTTTTCTGGAAAGACGTTGTCTGAAATTGGAGACAGCAAAGAATTTTGAGTGGATGACAATATAGTTAAGAATCAAACTTTGAAACTGTGTGTATGTAATATACCTACTGCGTATAACAATGCAAACAATGACAAAGGGCGTCACTCATGAGAAAGTGGAGGATAAACGCATGAAAATGTTAGCAATGGTACTTGAGCAATTAATTCAGCAATTAACCTTGTCCAAGTGTACCTGTGCTGCTCCTGAGGTATTTGTAGTAATAATACTGTGACACACAGTACCGGTCTCCCTGATACTGGTCTGTACGTTGACACATTTTTGTTCACTTTTTCTGTGTTAAAGATCTTGAAATTCACATTTTTGAGACGACATCCTAAATGTCATGTCTGGACACACAGTTTCTGTGAACCTTTTAAAGGAACTATCCCAAGGCTTGGTATTTCATATCTGCTAAATCTCTTGGTGTACTTCTTAGTCTATCTGAAGGTGAATACATTTGTCCCTGTGAATCATATTACTCTGTTAGTAGCAGAACTGGATTAATGTTGAATGTTTAACATTTCCTGACCTGTTAGGCTTGATACCACACTGAGAGGTAGTGTGTTATGAGAGATATAGAAATCAGCATGTAAAACATTTTCTGGCACAGTGTTCTTTGAGAAATTGTGTCACAGACTTCTGCACATTGACTTGCTGATGCCTCTTATGAGTCATATGCATTTCTGCTTCTGCTGTTCATGTCTGCAACCATATATATCTCTATATACATTGTCTTTTTTAGGGCAGCATTATGCGAATCACCAATGGTCTAATGCACAAAATCTCTAGAAAATATTATAAATTCTCCTAGGTTTTTGTTGTTTGCTTGGGGTTTTTTTTCCTCCTCACTGAGTGACATCTTGACAGGCTGAGCCAGAATCCCTTTCTTACCCTGCAGGTACAGAAGGATAAAATACATTAATGTGTTACAGTCCTCTGATTGTGCTGCTCTGCCTGGGATTCTAGCCTCTAGCCTCTGTTTTGTTTTATGAGGTAGGGGTTAGAGAGCTGATTTCAAGGAGGATGTTTTTGAACTAATGTGAATATTGGTGGTTTGGAGTACATTCATTAAATGACAAAGCCAGTAAAGGAGCATGACTGCATGTTCTCAGTGTTTACTGTAGTTCCCTGTGTTTAATTGCAGACCTCAAAAGAGGACCTTCTACAAGCTGATTTTGAAGGAGCTTTAAAATTCTTCAGGGTTCAGTTGCCCAAGAGGTACAGAGCTGAAGAGAACGCCAGAAGACTGATGGAGCAAGCTTGCAACATTAAGGTAAGGATGGTCTTCATTTCTTCTCATTCACTCAGGGTTTTTACAGGAAAAGGAAGCTGCAACATTAAGAATGGCAGTAGTGTGTGGAAAGTAAAGTAATGAAATCGTTAGTTTATTACTTTTTATGTATGTTTGTATATTTATACACACACGTGCACACTTCTTATATTTAAAGAAAGTTAAGTTCTGAGTTTTTCCCTCTTTGCTTCAGTTCAAGCTAATAATTAAAATAGAAAACTGATGCATGATCAAACTGAATTATCAGAACTTGCTAATTCGTCAACTGATTTATAAACAGTGATTACACTAAACCAATTAATTGAATGTATGATAATCATGCAACCAAAGGTCAGATATTATTTGTTTTGCCCAGAAGCTATTTATTTGCTGAGTGCTGCTGTATAATACTGTCCTGGTTTCGGCTGGGATACAGTTAATTTTCTTCCTAGTAGCTGGTATAGTGCTGTGTTTTGGATTTAGGATGAGAATAATGTTGATAACACACTGATATTTTAGTTGTTGCTGAGCAGTGCTTACACTAGTCAAGGACTTTTCAGCTTCTCATACTGCCCTGCCAGCAAGGAGGCTGGAGGTACACAAGAAGCTGGGAGGGGACACAGCCAGGACAGCTGACCCAAACTGTCAAGCCAAAGGGATATTCCATACCATATGACATCATGCTGAACAAAAACCAGGGGGAGTTGGCTGGGGGATGAGGCTGCTGCTTGAGAACTGGCAGGGCATTAGTCAGCAGGTGGTGAGCAATTGCATTGTGCATCACTTATTTTGTATATTCTTTTATCATTGTTATTATTTTCCCTTCCTTTTCTGTCCTATTAAATTGTCTTTATCTCAACCCACGAGTTTTACCTTTTTGCAGTTCTCTCCCTCATCCCACTTGAGGGGAGTGAGCGAACGGCTCTGTGCTGTTCAGCTGCCTGCCGGGTTAAACCATGACAAATACGATTGTATTGGAGTAGAAACTTAGTTTTGTTTGTATATCAAGTTTACCAAGACAGAATATCTTTTAATATTCTACCCTATCCAAGACCGTGCTGTCAAAAGGTAGGCTTCTTTGAGCATCTGGAGCACAAGTATTGGGCTTGTAATGAATGATGAAAAGTTAGAGGAGCCTGACTGTAAGTTTTTGAGGATGGAAATCTTCTGTTCAAAATAGCCGCAGAAGTTCATAAAGCTGTCATTTGAAAGGGATTTTTTTTTTTGTTGGAATATATATAGCTGTGGATGGGCTTAACATTTTGTCTTGAAAAAAAGTGCTTTTGTTATTTCTTCGAGTGGGAGCACTGATGGGAAAAGTGTGTTTGGTGTGGCCCAATAATGGGCTGAGAACATCCCATCAGAAAGAATACTCCTCTAACACTCCACCTTTTTTCTCTCTCTCTCAATATATTTATTAATCTACTTTTGTGCTGCTTAATTTCATAGTTTATTCAGCAAGGGCTTTTTCCATACTGGTTAAAACTCTGATCTCATGAAAGCGTGGGGCTTGCTATACTAACATTTATTCCAGCCAGAAAAAAAGATCTGTGCAAAGGTTTTGTTAACGTTGGACTTGAGATTTGAGCTCTGCTACCAAAAGAGTATTTGGGAGTAAAAGACTACAGTCTGACGTTTAGTGTTTAGTCATTTGCTCAGTTCTTGAAAATGAGTAATTTAAGGACTTACCAAGTACAATAAAATTATCTTTATATTGTTTATGCAGTGTGTATTTTTCTGATGAGAGGTTAAAATAGAAGTCCTCATGGTACTTTTTGGAAGAGATACTTGTCAATTTTTTTGGGCCTACCTTTCTCATTTTCTTGTGTAATATATTGTGTGCCACATGATGATATTTTTCATTTTTTGATTTGTATTGGGTATGTATATATATGATGTGTTTTGTGGGAAAGTATTTTGCAATGCGTTTAAGGCAGATGGTCAGTGCATAGTGGCTCGTATGGGTTCAGCGCATGGGGCCTTTCAAAAGCAGAGTATAAAATTCTGAACCGTTCGTCGGTGTGAATGGGAAGGTAGCTGAAGGATTTGACAGCGAATCCACTGCCTATGCAGGATTTTGCACTTTCTGGATTCCGGCCCGTAAGAGAAAAGCGCAGATGACTACAGCAGACATGGAGTCAAGGTGCTCTCCTGTGTGTTACAGAAGTACATGAGGACTAGTAGGAATTACTGGAATGGAGGGAGAATTCAAGGCTGAGACCTGGGGTTATCAGGGATGGGAAAAAGTAGATTTAAGTTACCTTCTGCTGTGTTAGTAACAGCCCACCCTTATAAGGAGTATAGTTGGGAGTTGGGTTCTGCTAACTCACTGGGCATGGAACTCATTCCTCCTTCAGGTGTAAGACATAGGAGGGGATCTGAACTGTGTCCTGAATAGTCTTTTGATAGTTAAGCTAGGAACAACTAAGCCCATGGAGAGGAGAGTTCTGAAACTCAGAGCCTTTTAGTTAATGTTGTTGTCAGGATTAATGGCATAGTCAGGAAAGTTAATCTAAATGGGGAAAACGCTGAACCTAAGGTGCTGTATTTAAAACAGTGAAAACATGAAAGACTTCAAGAACTTAATGTGGGGAAACGCAGTGCAGGACCTTGCTGGAGGGGACGGTGGAAATTACTTCAAAAGAATCTGTTTTCACTCACTTGCACTCCTTCTGTCATAGATGCCACTAATACTGATAGCCTTGTGCTCACTGACATCAAGGCTTCTGTCTGGCCAGGATCACTTGAGTGTGATGAGGTTGAGGGACAGTGGCTATCAAGCCCTCACTATGTCTCTTAGGTTCTTCTTGATTAATGACAATAAACTTGCTTTTAGACAAAGTTTTTGTATTCTTTAGGAGTTAAACAGTTCTCATGGTGTGATCTTCCCCTCAGAAGCTTGCTTGCTTCAGCCTGTCATTGCTGTCCTTTGTCTCTGTTTCCTCATTGTGGGTGGGTTTGTGGCTTCCAGCCTGTTTTGCTGTTGGCAGAGGTGATGTGCTGTAGCTTTGCCATGGGTCTCCAACTGGCTGGTCATCTCTAATATGGCCTTACCACAGGCTGGCCTTCTGATCTAAATGTAGCAAGACATTTCTCATTGTTGGCCAGTTTGACTGCTGTCACTTGTGTCCTTGCTTATCAATATGTGCCATTCTCGTAACCCTTCCTCTGTATCGTTTCTTCTGGTGCTTTTGCATGCAGACACTTCCATTCATGCTTCTTTCAGACTGATCTTAGTATTTCTGTTGCACATCCCTACTGAGTGATTATGTGATGCATTGACTCTGTTAACTTGATGTCCCACATTAAATTAAAACACACAAGGGTTGAACTGACTTCACATTCACAGTTTCTATTTATTTGGATCAACTTTTCTCACTTTTGCCAAATAGAATGTCCTTAGAGAGCCGACTCTGAATCACAGGAACGTAACCTCTGGCTGGAGATGGCACATTAACTATTTGATAGCCAGAGAAGAAAATCAGCTCATAATGAAGAAGGTGACCGGGAGTAATCAACATGGTTTTATGAAGGGTAAATAATGCTTAACCAACCTGATAGCCTTCAGTGATGAGATGACTTCCTTGGTGGGTGAGGGGAGAGCTGAGGATGTTGTTTATCTCAAGTACAGCAAGTTACAGACACTGTTTCCCATAACATCCTTCTGGACAAACTGATGAAGTGTGGACTAGATAAGTGGACAGTGAAGTGGATTGAAATCTGGCTGAATTGCTAGGTTCAAAGGGTTGTGATCAGCAGCAGGATGTCCAGTTGGAGGCCAGTCATTACTGTTGTACCTCAGAGGTTGATACTGTGACCAATAGTGCTTAGCCTCGTCTTTAATGACCTGAATGATGGAGCAGAGAGCACCTTCAGCAGATTTGCAGATGACAGAAAGCTGGGAGGAGTGGCTGATGGACCGGATGGGTGTGCTGCCATCTAGAAGGGACCTTGACAGGCTGGAGAAACGGGCCAGCAGTAATCTCGTGAAGTTCAACAAAGGGAAGTGCCAGGTCCTGCACCTGGAAGGAACAGCCCCATACACCAGTACCTGCTGGGGGCCGGATGGCTGGAAAGCAGCTTGGTAGAAAAAGACCTGGGGTCCTGGTGGACACAAAGTTGAACATGAGCCAGCAGTGAGCCCTTGCTGCAAAGAAGGCCAGTGGTATCCTGGGCTGCATTGGGAGGAGTGTTGCCAGCAGGTCAAGGAAGTGATCCTTCTCCTCTTCTCAGCACTGGTGGGATGCATCTGGAGTACTGTGTCTGGGCCTGGTCTCCCCAGGACAAGAGAGACATAGCTGCAATGGTGAGAGTCTGGTGAAGGGCTGTGAAGATAATTAAGGGACTGGAGCATCTCTCCTATGACGAAAGGCTGAGAGAGTTGGGGCTGTTCAGCCTGGAGAAGAGAAGGCTCAGGGGGATATTACCAGTGTAGATAAATACCTGGTGGGAGGAACTAAAGAATAGGGAGCCAGGCTTTTCTTAATGGTGTCCAGTGAACAGAGAAGAGGCAGTGGGCACAAAATTAAATAAAATATTATTTAAAAGCTATTTATTTATTTATTAACTTCAGGGGTGATCGGACACAGGAACAGGTTGCCCAAGGAGGTTGTGGAGTCTCCATCTGTGGAGATACTCAAAATGCAACTGGCCCTGAGCAACTTGCTGTATGTAACCTTGCTTCGAGGGGCTGGTTTAGACAAGATGTTCTCCAGAGGTCCCTTCCAACCTCAACTGTTCTGAGATTCTATAATTAGATATTATAATCATGGTATTTATTTACAAACAGGAGCTAATAATTGCAGGAGTTGACATGCTCAAACAGGAAATTATAGTCTTGATAATCATCACTAGAAGAGGTCCCAGGGAATGCAGAGGTTATATGAAGAGTAGTTGTCTGTCTTGTTGAATGCAGCAAAACTTGTTCTGTTCAAAAAAACCCAAACAAGACCCTTAAACATGTTTTTTTCTGCTGTATGAATGAGGCACTGTGTGTCTTTCAA